GTCCGCTTCAAACATGCAAAATTGTGTTCTTTCCTCAGGGTGAGAAACCCAATGTGACACATAAAATGTGACGGCAAGATTAGTAACAATGACATATTGTTCAATTGCCGGAATAGTAAGCAACCGTTATTGAAATATGCGGTAAGTTTGTTCATTTTCTCGCAGATATGTTGTTTGCTTCTTGAAGTGCAATCTTGTGAAGTACAGCAGTTCTTATACTGTACAAATACATATTCTGCTCTGGCAACCACAATTATCCATGCAGACGCAAAACCGTGCATTAGCAACTTCAGTAATTGAAACAACGTTGACAACATGAGCGAGACAAATTCTCATGAGTAGCTAAACATTTTTTACTCGGCAACGTAGTTGGTTGAGGCACTATCCTACAAGCCGGAAGATCGCGGGTGCGATTCCCGATGTAGTCATTGCACTTTTCAATTGATCTAATTCTCTCGGCCGCTCTATGGCCCTGGGGTCGGCTCAGTTTCTAACAGAAATGAGTACCAGAAATCTTCCTGGGGGTAGAGAGTGGCCGGCGCGTAAGGCTGACAACCTCACCGCCATCTGTGAGCCGATTGTCTAGAAGATATGGGAGCCTGGACGTCTCATAACCCTATGGGCCTTCACGGCCTGTTACAGAAATAGCTTTACCTTTTTACTACACACTTTAGATACGGATGGTCTAATCACTGCCCAACCGTAGCACCTTATCCCGAGCCAGGGCTCGATGCGATGCTTTACTCCCATCTATATCTTGTTCTCCACAATGTTTGTTTTTCTTCAGAATTTCCCCCGCCAAACTCTTTTATATCTGTTTGTTTTCTTAATAAATGTTGCGTAACCGGCAAATCTTAACACTCTTTATTTAATAAAAGTATATCGCCGTGAAGAAACCTGCCGAAGAGGCTTGTAAAGAAATGGAATTCATGGGCTGCTGACGCGTATCCCATGCATGTTCAGTCCTGCAGTGAGTCTCTCCGATTGTTCAGACATTTCAGCCGTGTCGATGAGATTTCGCTGTATTGTACTGAGCACCAGGCAGACGCTAGGCGTCGGCACGAGGGCAGCACCACATAACACTTAGCAGATCCCGAAATAAACGCCGCGTTTGGCATCTAATGTAGTGCCAGCAGCCCGAGGCAGAACTTCCACTGCTATCAGGACCTTTATTGCTTAGCCAACTCCAAGACTGAGTTCAGGAATTGCAGATATCAGTAATTTGTTTGCTCATAGGTGTTCAGTGACATTGCTTTTAGCTTGAATATTTCAAGGAATCCGTCCTCATGATATATGGGCAAAAAAAAAAAGCAAGTCATTGGTTTAGAAACACGATAAATAGAGATTACTCGATGTAATGTAGTTTCCTCTGCCAGGAAACTGAAGGGCAGGCCAGTGCTGGGGCGAGGTCTGGGATAGTCGCGGCTTCCTTCTCTGTCAGATTGCGCAGTTTGCCAGCAAAATGTGGAGGTTTGCTATGTCAAAGTAAAGTAAAGGTATCCCTGTAGCAGGGAGTGAAGGCCCATAGGTTTTTGAGACGTTGAGGCTCCCACATTTTCTAGACAATCGGCTCAAAGATGGCGGTAAGGTTGTCAGCCTTACGCGCCGGCCGCCCTTTACCCCATAGGAAAATTATTTAATTAATTCCTGGTACTCATTTCTGTTAGAGGCTGAGTAGACCACAGGGCCATAGTGCGGCTGGAAGGATTAGGTAAATTGAAAAAATCCAATGGCCTCATCGGTACTTGAACCCGCGACATTCCGGCTTGTAGCGTAGCCCCGGTTTGCTATGTACGAATATTTTATCTTACATTTCACAGCATTACGACGATATTTTATAATGTGTGGGGTCCATTATAAATATTTAGAATAATTTCTTAATGATACCTTTCTGCCAACTTGACACCCAATTTACATGCAGTTTAAACGTAAATTTATTATGTAAGATTTGAGGTTTTCACGGCGGTTTCTATGAAGATGTGGTGTTAACACCACATCTTCATGGTGTCACATCCCAGAAGACTATTTTCTTCGTAAATTTATTATTTTTCTCAAAAATGGCTTATCGTATGTAATTCACATAAAATGCAAATAGCTTATATTTAATATATTTCACTTTCATCCGAAATATCGTTTTAAAGAATCTCTTTGAAATATCGAGTTTTGAAGTTACTGTCGCAAAGGAATGTGAATCGACTATTCGTTTTTTATATAACGGACTAATAGGCAAAACACTTGGACGTTAAGCACCCAAAATGTTTTATTACGTGACTAAATCAAGTAAGTTGGCAAGGGCGCACTTCCTTCAATGTGACGCTGTTGTATCCCGCACAAGATGGTGGTGGGCTCGAAACAACAACCGTGATTGCCAGCAAATCATACAGAGCATTTTTAAGAATTAAGACCCACGTATCATGTTGATTAATTATCAGATACGTGGAGTATTAATTTTACTTTTGTTCTCTAGAACTCTGCTATTAGTGCGAAGTATGTTGTCACGATTTATGGGCGCGAGTGATAACGGGGTTTCCGATGTGATGATTAGTTTTATTGATCACTCCTTGTAGAATCACTCGCAATCACTGTTTTTAAGGATTGCATCCTGTTGCGTATATACAATGAACATATAAAATCTTGACCGTCAACGCAACAATACTTTATTATTTATTTATATAGCACGCACTACATGTATCGACTTCAAACGGGTCATCTGCAGGGGCTGCAAGTTTCCCACAGCCATTACCGAACTGAAACGCGAACATTCACATTTTTATAAATTGTTTGCACAAGTTAGTTTCTATTCCATTCACAAAGTAGACGTATTGGGGAAAGGAGGTAAGCTCCATCATTCTTGACCTTAGCACGACATGGAAGTGAGTGGTCAGCTTCACACCTCAGTGAAGGGACCCCGATATCCGTTGGATAGGAGGCTGGGTAGGCCCCAGAGCCTGTCTGAACCATGTGGAGAAGATAAAACCTCCTTTTCACTGCCGGGGATAGGATCTCAGCCGTCCAGGTCGTAGTCCGTCGCTATACCGACTGAGACATCCAGGCTTTAAACAGATTTAAACCTCTTTTAATCGTGGTAACCTTAAACTACGTGGTAATAAACTTGCGGGTTTCTTGACGAGTCGAGAGTCTCTTAGCTCTGTCTTGTGTGGTCCCTTTGTTTATGGGCGCTGATAGAATTGGCTCAGGTTTGGTATGAGCAATCTTGAGGAGTCTGATTTTGTGAAAAGGGGACTGAATACTTAAGTTTGTGACTAATTGCACCTAAAATATGCCTCTAGTCCCTATCCTAAATATGAATTAGTACTTCACAGTATCACTTGCTCCTGGTTTATGTTGACGCATCACGGGATCTGGCAACAGACGAGCGGGAATCGGCGTACGTTTCCTTAAGAAGTCATCGAGGTTGTCTGTGTCTAATTTCAGGCCTGCCGAAACAAACATGCGTTCTACATACACCAGGCCTCTCTGAACATGTATGCAATAAGAATGCTTCTGTAATGATGTGAGAGCTGCAAATTATGTATGATTTAAAAGGTGCTTATGGCGGTGGTTTTGAAGTGTCCTAGTGGCCTATCTTCTAGGATATAACTCTCTGTAGTCCGTTGAAAGTTGCTTTCTACTTCATGCTTCATGTTTTGCGTGGCTTACTGTAACCCTGAAGATGAGGCGACATCTTTCTCTGAAACGTCGATGGATTTTCGACGGCCTACGCTGCGTAATGTCCCAGAAGATAGAATTATTCACAGAGAATCTTGTCCTTCCAGAAGATTGGTATCATTGACCTGTACTAAATATATAAAATGCTACATGTTACAAACGTATCGACTCAGAGCGACTCACGCTACATATCGCAGTACACAGTCACGTGTTTAACATCGTATTTCACAAAATGTAAACCATTCTAAAAGGAATAAAAATAAATATTTCAGATCTTAATTACGCTATATTTTTTAAAAATATAAATATTTATTGAAGAGCAGTAATTGAGAAAAATGAGGCAGTTCGACTTGGCAGCCGTGTCATCTAGAAATTAATGTTAGACAGTCAGTCCTAACTTAACAATTTTTAATTTAGCACTGTTTTTCTGTAGGATATGATTCTGCTTAAAACTGAATTGCTTACGTATATTTGAATACGTATTTAAATCATAGTGTAATTATTATATTCAGATAGGAGTAAGTCGAATAGAGAAGCCTACTATAGAAATGTATGTATACATGTGCTAATCGTTTCTTTTATACAGTAGTATCAGTGTGCTGAAAGGGGCACGCAGTAGCGTAGTTGGTTGAGACACTATGCTTGAAGCCGGAAGGTCGCGGGTTCAAATCCCGATGAGGTCATTGGATTTTTTCAGTTGACCTAACCCTTCCAGCCGCACTATGGCCCTGGGGTTCACTCAGCCTGTAACAGAAACGACTACCAGGCGTTAAATAAATAATTTTCCTGGGGAGTAAAGCGCGGCCGGCCCGTAAGGCTGACTACTTTACCGCCATCTTTGAGCCGATTATCTAGATAATGTGGGGGCCTCAACGTCTCTCAACGCTATGGGCCTTCACGGCCTGTTACAGGGATAGCTTTACTTACTTTACTTTTAAACTGAAGTGAAAAGGAGAGTTTCGTGGAATGAGGCCAAGCCCCAAATTTGGGCTGTATCACCAAAGGAAAAAAATGACTCTCCTTTTTTCTGCTGTATTTATTTCCAGTCCTGCACGTTATCGAATAACAAGTCGACGTCACGGTTAACATCGTCTCCCACAAATAACAGAAACAAACCGTCTCCATGTACTATGCTATGCTTCACATAGACACATGAGAATTTAAGAATACCGACAGAAGGAAACGCGGTATCCTGCTCCTTCTCTGTCTTTTATATGATTCCCTTTTGTCGATGTTTCGCGCTTACGAAATGAATGTAATGGAACAACCCGCTTTCAGCTCGCCCGTTTCTCTTCTACATCGCAAATACATGTGACGTCATATGGTTGCAGTGCCACCGTGGCCCCCCGGGAAACCGCACCTCGTCCCCGGATCTCCCAATACCCAGCCGAACGTTGTGACGATCCGGTGGGATCCACCACCTGATGATGGAGGCGCCCCGATCACAGGTAATCTTAGATTATTATTTACATATTTTCGTCCTTGTATTTGTTACTATCTATTTTGTTATTTGTGCTGACTCTGTAATTCGCTCCTGACTCTTAATTTAAGCATGTAAATAAATAAAGAACTGAAGTCAATTTGATCGCTATTGTTGCTGTATTGGTACTGTTGCTGCATTTAATCTGTTCGGTTATGCTTCTAAAAGGATCTTGATTTTGTTCAGATAAGCGTTGCAATTTTTAACTATTCCGTGGTTGTTCGAATCATCATCATCATCATCATCATCACACTGTCACGTGTATCAGCAACTGGAGACGAATTCGGATTGTTAATTGAATTTGTTAGATACTTACAGGCCGTAACTACAAATAATTCTTGCACTGTTGCTGCTTTACACAATTTACAATCACTCCACACTAATCTTTTCAGTCGATCTGCACTAGTCTTCACGGATTTGTAACACAGGAACTATAGCAGTCTCATTGAATTACACTCTCCAGATATTACACATAAATAAATTCTTCTAATCACACGTTAAATCTTCACAGGCCGACTTCTAGTTCTTCTTCAACTATGAAATTCCCATGGTTATCTCCTTGCTTGCTTGTTCATGTGCTTCTGCTGCTGTTACTACTCATAACTCGTAACTCGTAACGGCCCTGAACGAATTCTGTCACTTATACTACAGCGGCGGAACGGACATGGACCCACAGTAAATATTGTGACATATCACGTGATCGCCATCCAGCCAGTCTATTGGCTCGTCGGTCGGATCTACAGAAAACACAGCTTCCTCTATTGTTGCATGTCGGATTGTGATTGCAGAGTTGTTGCCTGGCAACGCGTTGATCAGATTCGTTACAACACGCATTATCATCATCATCATCATTATCTGTTGGTTATAAAATTTGTTTCTATCATTAGTGCTCCACCCCACAGGTGCTCTTATGTGTTTGCTTGTGTGTTTAGATCGTTTCATCTTAAAGCGTCCCTTTCTGACCACTGCTTATACTGTATATAATCATTTTATTTCTGTATTTGTTCTTGCGTCTTCTGTTGTTTTGTTTTATAATCTTGTCATTCCATTCTTTGTGTTGATTCCGTAATTTATGCCACTGCTGCTGAGTCAGCACGCAAATAACGAACAACTGAATAACGATAATAATCATCACCATCATCTTCACATTGGTTCACGATATGTGTATGTTAGGACATTTGTCGAGGATAAGAAACGACTCTCATTCTGTACTTCTTTTGGCTTATTTTGGACTTCACCCATCGTCCGGTATATAAAAAAGACAAAAAACCACAACGTTTCGGAGACTGGATCTGTCTCCGTCTTCAGGTGTATAGGGAAGGTTTAACCTACTCAGTTGGGCCCCTTAGAAAGAGCTAGTCTCAATCACTGGNCTCATTCTGTTTAGAGAACTGTAGGAAGTCTTCATTCTCGTCCGGGTTTGTTCTAAAATAAACTAACGACAAAGTAAAATTCCTTATTTATTATAGCAGTCTTCTAAATACACCTATAGTCACATTGATCAAAATAAAATTTACCGGAAGTGCCATAAATTACACTGAATAAATGTCGACTATTTTTATAAGTATAAACCAGATAACTCCATGGATAATAACCTTAAATGAGCATCTAATAAGTCCTGAACAAAGAATATAGGAGATGGCTGGCGTGGGGCCTGAAACTTGAGACAACTTTCCTGGCGTCGAAAGATTAAGAAATTAACAAGTGACTGTCGGTCCTCAAAAAGACGTGGAAGGCAGACGCTCCTCACGAAGAAGCAGGAGGTGCACAATAGCAGCTCTCGTGCATAGAGACGGCAGGGCTGGTACAAAGATTCGAATTCGAGACCCATTCAGCCCATGTGAGATTTGAGGGGCAGAGCCGAGCTGAGGAGAGGTTCGCCTGTGGTTTCTCATCTCTGTTCTACCTTTAGGCAAAATTACCCACTTCTCAGACTTTGACTAAGTAATAAAGTAAACAGATGAATAAAACAAGCTAATTAGCATGGTACCATATATTGAGTAAATTGATCCTTGCTACAAATATTATGTTTTTTTACATTATCCATCGTCTTGTCTTTATCTAAAACCGTCCTGTTTATTTTCAATACACAGCGTTTTGGAGACTGGATTCTGTCTCCGTCTTCAGGTAAAACCTACTCATTTCAGCCAATCTATAAAGCTAGAGTATGTTTTACCTGAAGATGGAGACACAATCCAGTCTCCGAAACGTTGTGTATTGAAAATAAACAGGACGGTTTCTAGATAAATAAAATAAAGACGATGCGTAACGTGCAAAAACATAATATTCGTACTAATGTACCATCGTCGCAGACTTTTAGAATTTAAATTGATAACTTGGCCTCGCATTTGTGTGTGTCAGGCACGGGACCTGTGGATTGAAGAGAAATGTTCTCAGATTCCATCACATCATTCAAGGGAGCAACTTAACAATGCACATCCTTGCTGGTCTGTATGACTAAAGAGAATTTTGTCGTAATTCATCTTAGACGCTGCTTTTCTGTTTTACACAAAAATTATTAAAGCGATTTATTGTATTAGAAAGTCATTCTCTCCGAATCTGTCCATTATGCCGTTTATGCAGACTGAGTTCTGTATAGTTTTGTTTCTTGCGTAAGGGTAAAGCTATCCCTGTAACAGGCCGAGAAGGCCCATAGGGTTGTGAGACGTTGAGGTTCCCACATTTTCTAGACAGTCGGCTCAAAGATGGCGGTGAGGTTGTCAGCCATACGCGCCGGCCGCCCTTTACCCCCAAGAATATTCCTGGTACTCATTTCTGTTAGAGGCTGAGTCCATCGAAGCGTGCCTGAACCAACTACACTACCGCATGCCCCAACACGTGTAGTAGCTGTGTTTTATCTACCGATTCATACGTTTAGCAATAAGGAGTCCCATAGCTCCTCATAACAGACTAATGGTTGCAGCACATTTCGTTGAATTACAGTAGTGTCAGACTTCAGATACCTTTATTACTCTCGGGTTCCTCAGTTTGTACTCAGATTATATACCCTCAAATGACAGAATGCTCGGCGAAAAAGTATTTGAATATATGTGGAAGGAAGTGGCCTTGGTATAATTTGAAATATTATCCGGGAACTTGCTTAGAGGGACTGAAGAGTACCATGAAAAAGTCAATGAGCGTGGCCGTTCTTCATGACGAGATCTGAGCCCGGGACGTGAGGAACACAAAGCAGGAGTGCTAACCAATCGGTCACGACGTTCAGTAAATCGTTTGCCTGCTGAACATTATCAATTGTCTGTGATATATTTAATTTTCACGGCTTTTCGGAAGTTGATTCTGTTTCCATCTTCATATTATCCATCACTTTTTACATTGCTGATGATTTTCAAGGACTGAATTGCGAGACTTTGAGGACGGAATAAGCTAACATGCTCAGCCCTTGAGGATGATGATCATGATGATTAATGGTGACTGCTGGGTCCGAAGCAGGGATATGTAGTACATTAGGCTAGTATGCTAACCACCAGACCAGACCAGACATTGGTGGTGTATAGCTTTATGTACTATGTCCTCACAGGGTACGTGGTGGAGCACCGCAAGGCGGGGACGCCGAACTGGATTCGTGCCACGACGGATCTGGTGCTGCAGCCGGAGCTGGAGCTGAGTGGCCTTGAGCCAGGATGGCGCTACCAGTTCCGGGTAACTGCAGAGAATGCGGCGGATCTGCTGTCGGATCCAGGGGAGCTGTCGCAGCCTCTAACTGTTGCCCGAGCATACCGTCCTGCCACAATGGCGCCGCAGTTCAGCCTCGAGCTCCGGGACACGGTGACCCTAGAAAACGAAAAGGTGAACTACGAGACGGAAAGGCGTGATCCCGAGAACGTGTGACTATTGTAATTTCCGTATCAACTTGATAAGTCCTGTAAGGTTGCTGGGAACAACATGGTGGGATTTTTGCGAGTTGGGAGTGATGAAATGTGTCGACTCATAAATAATATTGTATATTATCCAGGTCTTCCACTCATGTTCAATTTTGTCAACTACTTTATTTAATTTTATGATCGGTGGTTTTTTATTTAAGTACACTCAGAAAAAAAAAGTCGTTAGCTTCTGCACCAAGAGATCCACATTTGCTGTGAGCAGGGCTCTAGTGGCAACCGAAATCAGTTTCCTGTCTTCCAGATACCAATTGTGGTGTGTATTTTTGTGAAATTCTCTTATGTATTTAACGTAATTTATTTTTAAATGTATTATTGCGAATTCTGGTTTTCGGTTAAGAAACGGGTAACTTAAGAAGCTGGGAGAAAGAATGAAAGGAAAAAGACTACTAATTGAAAACAAATTCTGTGGAATTGACAAAGTCATTTGTGGCGTCATTCGACACTTCAAAACGCGGGTAATACGAATACAAAGTACCAATTTTTATATTCAAAATGGAAAACAACAGAACAGTATAAATCTTTTTGTGCACATTCTTGGGTAGGTCCTACGTAACCTAGACGAGTTTCATTGAAATCTTATAGAACCATTAATTGTTATCTACATAAATCCTTTGTGCTGTGTTCCTCTTTTCAGGCCCAGTTTATTGTTCACTTCCACGGGATACCAACCCCTAAAATTGCGTGGTACAAGGACAGTTTTGAGATTTTTAGCAGCAGGAGGATGCGAGTCATTGTCGAGAACGATATGAGTTCTCTTATTATCCACCAGACGGCGTTCTCGGACGAAGGAGAATACAAATGCGCGGCAACCAACCGCGCAGGCCACATTATCACCAAGGCCAAGTTACGGCTAGAAGGTACGAAGGCCCTGATTGCTGTCAATGCTTACCCGTAACTTCAGGGGAGAATAAGGAGGATTTCCGTACTAATTTAAATCATTCCTAGTTTAGCATTTAACGACACGGTTTGGATTGTACGAATGAAAAGGTAGTCAATTGTGAATTGGGCTAGGATGTGCAAGAAATCGGTCATGATCCGTTTTAAAGTAATTTTCCAGAAATGGCCTAGAAAGGCTCTTGGAAACCAAGACAATCTGCACTCAGGCTTGCATGAGTTATGGCAGAGGAACTGCGACCTACAGACGAGGGAGCAGAAGCGCTGTCTAGCGCAAAACTCTCTGTAGTTATCGGGCGATCACGGTGGCCGCGCGGTCTAAGGCATGAACTGTCTTCGCTCCCTCGAACACTGGGATCGTCGGTTCGAATCCCACTCAAGGCATGGAGTCAGACTTTATTCTGTTTGTGTTGCCCTGTGTAAGTAGCGACCTTGCGACTGGCTGATCCCCCGCCCAAGGAGTCCTACTGACTCTTAGGATTAAGAAATTGAAGTGAAACAAAGCGTTTCACGGATGCCCTATGCTCCAAGTAGGAGCAACAGGATAGAGAGAGAGAGAGAGAGGCACGAAGCTAATTTATGTTGCCTGATTTGAGACACTTTTGTTTAGTGCTGTACTGATTCAGAATGCTGGAAGTTTTAGGTAATGGAAAGAAGTGGAGCCATGCTCTCTCACATTCACGGATGATCAGTGGAAGTATACGGCCCCTGTCTTCAGTTACAGTGTTCTTCAGCGTCGTAATGCTTAAAAGCGGAAGTTCGTTGGAATATTATTAAGGATTTCAGTTCCTACCGCGAAGAATTTCCGGTTAATGATGCGTAAAGGAACAATTGTTTATTATGCGAACCCAACAAAATCAGTTAGTGCAGTCAGTGGGCTTCAATCTCAGTTCCTGAGCGTTTAAGTAAGCGGCATTCAATAGCACCATTCCGCTCTGAAGTCTACGATTTCTTATTTTTGCATCCCTTTCACTTCATTATTTGCAGATGCGGTTGAGAAAGAATGGTTAAATAAACTGAGAAGGGTGAAGTACAAATAAGTGTAGATGTGAGGGTTCCTCTTGTTGCATTGCTTCCAGCGCCTCCTCGTATTCGCATACCGCGCCAATATGAGGACGGCCTCATCTTTGAGAAGGACGAGGTAATCCGCTTGAAGGTGTCAGTGGCAGGGCGGCCTCTGCCTCGGGCCACGTGGTACCACAACGGTGAGCCGATCCCTTTCGGAGGACGCTACGAGGTGAGCAACACTGATCGTTCCTCCGGGCTTAGGATCTCCGAGGCTCGGCGAGCAGACCGTGGCGAGTACCAGGTGCGTGCCAGCAGCCGACTCGGAGAACACGTCGTGTCCTTCCTGGTTACCGTCACAGGTGAGGAACCTCCACACGAATTCCAATAACCCTCGGGGAATCTGCATTTTTCTTACTCTTTCTGGTGTCTTGCCATGGGCTGATCCCCCTTTCAAGGGATCGTAGGGCGCGTTGAAAGTTTGTGCTGTCTCTGAATTGACTGTGAGGTTGAAGAGGACAGACGTCTTAATCCGTGAATATCTACGAAGAAGTTGCTACTGTAATCAAACAGACTTTGAGTATTATGATTAATTTGTTGGTTCTTGGCTTATATGCAGTTATTTATCGATTGGAAAATTTATATAGCCTCTAATAACCGAATTATTCTTCACACGATGTACTGGAAGCAAAACGCAATGAAGCGTTCGTGACTCAAACCCTTATCTGACGGGGAATTTCATTACCGGTGATCTACCCGGTCACCTCGAACCCGTATCCTCAAATCCTAATCGTCATTATTGCCCTTCTACTGCGATTAGCGATTGTTCGCGCCCGAATATCAGGTCGGTGTGTAAATGAAGAGAGGTGATGCACCTCGGAGTCACGTGTAATTAATGTAAGAGCTGATGAATGAAGCGAACGTTTGCAACGCCACAGCCAGAATAGTTAACTTACGGCTCGAGATCAGACCTCAGAGTCGCAAGGAGTGCTAACCACGAAACCGGTTCGTACCGGTCCTTCTGACCTCCCAGCTCAGGCTGAATCCACCAGTAACTCTTCTGTTCAGCGTCCTCGGGACACGGGAAGGTACAGTTAATGTCCCTTTGAATGATTCACACCTAATTAGGTAAAACTATCAAAAGGAACATAATTCATGTCTCGTCTCGGTTACAATCTGCCCAGATTGTTGTAGACTTGTATTCGAGAGGTGCTCAGTTCGAATCTTGGCGACCCTGATTATGATATTTCGTGGCTTTACTCATTTCCTCCAACAAACACCGTGCTAAAAAAAGAGGTGAAGCTATCCCTATAGCAGGCCGTGGAGGTCCATTGGGTTATGAGACGCTGAGGCTCCCACATTTTCTAGACAATCGGCTCACAGATGGCGGTAAGGTTGTCAGCCTTATGCTCTGGCCACGCTTTACTCCCCAGGAAGATTCCTGGTACTTATTTCTCTTAGAGGCTGAGCCGACCCGAGGGCCATAGTACGCCCAACACTGGGGTATTACCACTAGTCAGAACATAACCGCTTCTTTCCACGTCGTTACAAATTCATTATTAATTTATCACCATGTCATTCGACGTGTACTCTTAGTGATTGCGACAGTGTCGTTAAATAAGCTATAAATAAGTACTTACTTACTTACTTACTCATGGAGCTGAGCCCTTCTGGAGGAGCCGCCAATTCTGCAGCTACTCAAGAATTTCCCAGCATTTTATGGAACCCGAAGGTTCATCACCGTGTTCACAAGAGCCCGCCACTGGTCCCTATCCTGAGCCAGATCTATCCAATGCATACCATCTCATCCTATCTCTCTAAGATCCATTCTAATATTGTGCACCCACCTACGCCTTGGTCTTCCCTGTGGTCTCTTTCTTTCTGGCTTTCCCACCAATATCCTATACTCATTCCTCGTCTTCCCCATTCGTGCTACATGACCTGCCCACCTCATCCTCCTTGACTTGATCATTCTAATTATACTTGGAGAAGAGTACAAGTTATGAAGCTCCTCATTATGCAGTACAAATATATTCTTATTCCTTGTTGTTAAGGCCGAGAAGTTGTGAACAATTGCAAACAGTCTTTTGGAGAATATATGTGATGCATCATTTGATATGCTTCCTTTCTCTCCGCCAGACCGCCCATTGCCACCCGGAAGAGCAGTCGTGGTGTCTGTTGCGGGCCGCTCTGTGACCCTGTCTTGGTCGGAGCCAGACGACGACGGTGGCTGCAAGATTGGCAACTACATCGTCGAGTATTATAGGGTAAAGTGGGGACAAATGAACGAACTTCAACGTATATTCACGACACAGTATTTGTATACAAATTGAATATCACCGTATATTTGTCGCATTTATGTATATTAAAACCATTTTCAAAGTTTTAAGTAAATTTTAAATGTTAAAACTGTCATTTATTTCATTACATACCTTAAATTTTAATAATCTATAACAAATATATTGTCAGGCGTAAAGGTGACTTATAAGACGGGATTTTGGACTGGATGATTGCACTTATTGCAGCTTTTACATTCACACATTTCGAGACCACATGCCATACAGCGCCATCGCTATTCTACGCACTTTCCAATTCACCGTTGCACACGCACTAGGATTCTCAGTCTTCACTAGTCGCATCCTGGTAACGGGAAGTCTTATTGACACAGTCTAATTCCTTTCTTGCCATTTCTGCAGCTTGCCAGTTCCGAAGACTCTGTCCAATTCTCTTCCGACTACTCTGCCCCTTCTACTCCTGTCCTGCCGAACACTTCTTATGACCACGTTGCACGAAATCCACGGAAAACACCGTCTTCTATTGTCAAGAATGCGTGTTTACTGGTCGTTACCTAGCAGTGGATGTCCTATTGTTGAGCACATTTGTTGCGGGAATGTGTTAACCGAGTCGTAGCCTAGCAATGGGTATTTCTTTTCTGTGGCGCTACAGCCCCAATTTGGGCCTAGGCCTACCTCCATGAAACTCTCCGTTTCACTTCGGTTTACTAGATCTTACACATACGGTAGGACTCCTTGGGCGGGTGATCAGCTCGTCGCAAGGCCTCTACCTGTAGACAAACACAGAAAAACGCACACAAACACCCATGCCCTGAGTGGGATTCGAACCCACGATCTCGGTTTCCGAGCGAGAGAAGACAGTGCATGCCTTAGACCGCTCTGCTACCGTGACCGGCTTAGCAATGGGTATACATATAATGCATTATTTCATTAAATATGGTTCTTTATACGTAGGTGTTCTATTTCCATGAGCAGTATACGAGTATTGCACGATACATTTTTACAAGTGAATTTACATTTGTTTCGTTAAAGCACGACTGCTTGTTTGCCACATTTCATCGAAATATGGCCCACAGTTATAGTATTTAGATTCAAGAACATCTCAAGGATTTGTAGTGAATTGATCACCACAGCGCGAGAGAGGACTGAGATGAAGTGAACATGTATTTTCTTCACTTTCCTTGTCTGTATCAGTGTAAGATCTACTGCCATCAGGTGAACACCCAATTTCCGTAAAAAAATATATAATAATAATTCAATTCTTCAATTCGATTCAATTCTTTATTATTTATGTGCCAAGTCAACAGATAATGGAAATGGAAAATTATAAACGCATTCCTGTTTTTTCGATTTTTTAGCATGTCTATCTTGATTTCATTTAATGTATTGGAGCAACTACAAAAGTAATATGCATTAATTAAAAAATGCGAAAAATTGTATTGAGGCAGACACATTTAACGCATACTCAGAGGCGTAAAATATGTATATATTATATATAAATATAAATATTGTAACGTGTTTTGTCTACTGAAGACGCCGTTCAGGTTGTTAATCGGATTTATTAACAACCTACAAGTCGTAACTACAATTACTTATAGCACTGTTACGGGTTTACACAATTTACAAACCCTACACACTAATTCTTATCTCTGTCTTCAGTAGTCTTCACTTGCTTACAGCACAACGCGGGAGCTATACAACTATCACTGAGTTCCACACTCCCAATGCCTTCTCAGTTATCACAAACTACCACTGATTATCACACATAAAATCTTCTTATCACGCGTTCAGTTCTTCTTCCCGCGACTGACTGACTGACTTCTGCTCTGCCGAATACGCCGAATACTCATACTCGTAACTCGTACTCAGTGCTCAGTACTGTCTGAAGTCAAAGTCAAAGTCAAAGTCTCATTGCAACTGATGTTCAGACAGTCTATAAACCTTGTTGCCGACCCCTATCTGGGGCTCATGACCAGATATTTATTACTGATTGACAGTTATGGTCTTGTTTGCGGCACCGTCTCTGACGAGGGGACGGGTCTGTCTTTTGTATATGCTGCTGGCCCTGGCCAGTGCAGTCTTCCTCCTACGACTCGCAAGGTCACAGTGGAGGTATTCGACACCACCTACACACGGGTCTGAGAGAGAGAGAGAGAGAGTTACTTTATGACTGGTGGTTTACCGCCAATCAGTTCGTCCCGGCGTCAGGACCCCTGAGGTCCACGACCAGAGATTTTCTTTTTCAACTGAACTCTTGCGGTAATAGTCCCTATGTAACATCCTCTCTGACGAGAACACATTCGACCTTTCGCCAAGTGTATATTTCGCACATATAATATGTTATGAAAATTCTTCCTTTTGCTTTACACACAAGTCCTCTGTCAGTACAGGCTTTACTGAGCAGATCATGCCTAACTTACATATCTTATGCTACAACGAAAACTTTGAATGGTCATAAGCTTGACCACAGCCAAGTTTAAGCCTCTTATATTTTCTGTGTCTAGCTTCACCTTGTCCTATACCGCGAACATGTTCATTATCATGATTTTGTACGACTTCTGCTTGTCTGCACAATTTTGTTATATAATCGTATACATACGGAAAGTGGACAGCTGTGTGCAAGTCGCGGACCGGTGTGCACAATGGAAAATTCCAATGGTGCGCAAAACCTTGTTTTGCTTGCGCTGGAATTTTAGAAGGCAGGTGTCTGCCGCTAATTCCCAGGCGGGACAAGCGTAAGTCATTACTATCTGATCAGTGCCTTATAGAGGGATAGTTTAATGTTTGCGTTTAAACGTTCACTTTTGAATAGGGAGTAGATTCTAATAAATCTTCTGAAGGCCTTGGCTTCAGTCATTTCTATGTGAAGTCTCCACGTAATCCTCTATCGAAGATTACGCCCAGGTATTTTACATGATTGACGAAAGGGATATTCTGCCCATTCAATGTAAGATGAGTGTGAGGGGGCCTAAGTCTATGAGAGAAGTAGATTGCCTGAGTTTTATCTTCATTGATTTTTATGTTCCAGCGCTCACACCACGTCTCAATAGCATTGAGACCTCGCTGCAGCTTTCTGAGAACATAACCCTCTTTGCGGTCTGTGGCATATATAGAGGTGTCGTCAGCAAAGAGACCTAGATAGACACCAGGTGTTTGGGGCGTATCGTTTATATATAGACTGTACAGTGTGGGGGAGAGAACAGAACCTTGTGGCACTCCTGCTTGTATATCCCTGGTGTAGACATTTCACATTCGGCTGAAACTCTGAATTTTCTCTGAGAAAGGAAAGAGCTAATAAGCTTGATTAGCCTTATCGAAAATTGTAATGTAGATAATTTATATAGCAAGACAGTGTGCCATGTTTTATTAAAGGCTTTTTCAATACCCAAGAATACAGCAGCTGTAGACATGTTACTGTTGAAATTTAAGGTTACGTGGTCCGTAAGCCTCATATATGAAGTGTCGTGCTATGACGGGCACGGAAACCAAACTGGCTTGCATTAATCAGGCCTTTATCCTCATTGTGCCTTTGGACTATTTTCAGAATAACTTTTTCGAATAGCTTACCCTTTGTAGACAAGAGGCTAATCGGGCGTGAGGAAATTTTGTGTCCTTACCGGGTTTCGGTAACGTTATAACTTTTGCTTCCTTCCAAGGCTTTGGAAAATTGGACAGCCGAAGGCAGTGATTAATTAAATGCGTCAGATGTACCAGTGGTCTTCTTGGAAGATGCCTAAGGCATTCGTCTGGAATACCATCAAGTCCACAAGCCTTTCACAATTTTAATGTATTTGTTAATTTATGTATATCACAAGGTCGTACTTTCCCCAGCGGAGTGCCTTCTACAGATGCAAGCAGAGCTTGGACTGTAGTCAAAGTTAAAATGTGTTTTGCAAACTCTTCTGTGAGTCTACAAACGTAGAAACTAACAAATTTGTGAGGACATGGTTGGAGACACTTGGGATAATCGCAGAAAGCAGTAGGCATAAGGACAGCCAATCTGCTTCGTGGAATTCAGGAAGGGCAGTTCCCGGATGAGACGCTGTAATGAGTTGCAAATCTCGCTCTGTGTGCAGCTCGGATGGAACGTGTGGTTGAAGGCTGCCACCTGCCGTCACCTGACGACCACCCTGGCAGATCTGATTGAAGGGTCCGAGTACAAGTTCCGAGTGAAGGCGGAAAACCCTTACGGTGTCAGCGACCCTAGTCTCGAATCAGAAGCCGTGTTTGTTCCTGATCCGAAACGAGGGTAAGTGACAGACCCAATTTGACTTTTCTGTGACTTAACAGAGTGAGCAACCATTCAAGTTGAATCAAGGTATAACTGTTCTCTGGTATCCGTAAGATGCCCGGTTCGAATCTCTGCCGGGACACCGGATATCCTGACCGAGGTTTTTCATACTTCTCCTCAGTCCCTCCATGACAATTCCAGGATAGTATACAGATTATGACACGCCCGATTCCTTCAAAATTCTTCCCAATTAAGTATCACCACTATCCACTAATTGAACGCTCTATTGTCTGGACGCTGGAGACTAATATAATGTATCATACAAAAAGAATTACCAATCGGATGTTCCAGTTTAGAATGCCCAGCTGCCACCTGTTAATTTCTGGAAAACCACACGTTTCCGCGGAATTAGCACACATACTCATTGTTACTCATAAACCGTCTTCTGCTATATATACAAGTGCATGCTGGCCATCATCACCGTGGACCGTAGGTGTTAAACCTCCCTCTCCAAATAAGGTTCTAAAAGTTGTTGTGGGTGTTAATGCGAAGTGCATGAAATGAACATATTTTTGAGAGACTATTTCTTCCAGACTGACCAATACATAGCATCCCTGTTTACATTCTTCATCCCTGTTACTACTGAGCTGAATAAAACCTGTTATTTTCTGTCTTCACTAATAGCTATATACTAAATCTGTGAAAAGAACAGTGACACATCGAAATTAAAACCGGGAAGAAATTAAGGGCAAATTAAATTTTGTTCTGCTCAGTTGGGATTTTCCTGTCTTCCCACTTCCTATCCAAGGAGGTAAAGGTTAACGGACACAAAATTATAATTTTACTTTTAGATTTACTGGGTTTTCGGACTTTATCCATCGTCCAGTGGTTGAGGTTGAGCATAGCCCTTTCTAAGGGACCTAACAGAGTAGATTTCTCCCGCACTCACCTGAGGACGACAACAGATTTAGTTTCCGAAACGTTGTGTTTTCTAGTATTTAGAATACCGCACGATGGATGAAGTCCGAAATCCCAGTCACTCTGAATATTATACACCACCTTCCAGAACTCCTTAGAATCTAATTTTACTTCTTGTTTCTTATTGGTGTGTAACTGCGTAACGAGTTAAGCACTATACCATGAAGGAGTATGGGGGAGTGGATGTATAGATCTACAGTTTCTTGACCTCGGCACTAGGTGGAGGTTCACGCCCCGGCCGCTTTATCCCCGGGAGCCACCGGTACCCATTGGATAGGAGGTCGTGTGGACCCCAGAGTCGGTTTGGACGATGTGGAGAAAATTCTTGAACATACCGGGACTCGAACTCCGACCCCTCAGTCGAGCAGCCCGTAGCCAGTCGCTATCCCGGCTCCCGTCTGAGAACAGGTGCTGCAGTCAATGTTTGGATCTAAGATAAAATAACACGAGGACGAGGAAAATTGCCTAAATCAAAAGAACTTCTTAATCTCTACTCTTCAACAAGCATTATTAAGGTAATCAGATTTGTGAGGATTAAATTGGCGGGCATGTATCATGAGTGGGAGATGTGAGATGCGTGTTCAACGCTTTGGCTGGAAGGCCTGGCGGAAATTACGGAAATTTAGATATAACCCGGACGATAGTAATATGATTCGTCCTAGGGAAAGGGCATGTGTGTGGGGGTATTTACTTAACCCATCTGTATGAGTACAGAGTCCAGTGGCGGGCTCTTGCGGACACGGTCATTAAACCTTCGGCTTCCCTAACAGACAGGAAGTTCCTTTGCCAGCAGAACGAGTATTTGCATATCAAGAAAAACGCTGCTCCATGAAGTAGGCATGAAGCTCCAGTCTACCTTCCATATCAGTTTTCTCAGATCCAGTTTCTAATACAAAAATTTATCTTCTTCTGAGTACTAGCACCGCGTAGTTAAGAAAAAGACAGACGTTTCGGACATAGATATCTCATCCAAGAAATAGCAAATACTTCTCTGCTTACCGCTTGCTTCTTGCTGGCTTCTTGCTTTGCTTATTCTTGGAAGCGATATGTTCCTCCGAAACGTCACGCTTTTTCCAGACTACATATCTTTACAACCCAGAAATTCGTACTTTTCATAGTTGTTGCTGTGAGAACCTCAGGTCCAAGAAAATCACTTATATTCCAATAGAGCAGCCTATTGGTGTTTTACTGGCTTTCTATTAATATAGAAGCTCTGAAATTTTAAAGCCCGGCCTGAATCATATTTTTGCTACTTAAATATACACTCATTGTCTTTTATGTAGGAGTTACGACTGATTAGGGCATGGCCGGAAAATTGTTTTCGTAAAGTCATTTGGTCACCTAGCGCTGTGAATATCTTCGTGTTATTTAAAACAAGACTTTTCTAAAAGAAATACAGGGGATGAACAAAAATATGGAAACACCTCGTGAAATGTATGCCTGAATTGAAGTGTTTATTTTAGCGACGTTTGTAGGTCACGCGGTCGTATCTGCCCAACACCACTACCTGTACAACCTCCGCAATACGTTGCAAGCTTCATTTTTTGTCGAGACAGTGTTCTGTGCAGTTTCTAGTGCATCATGTCAAAGCTAACAGAATTCGAACGCGGGCAAATTGTTGGGGCCCATATGGTGGGTGCTTCCGTAACCAAGGTAGCCGAGGTTTTTGGTATTTCGCGACGCACAGTATCCAAAATTCTTACCGCATCCGATAAACACCAGCTGGACGGAAATGTGTGTTAAGTGATCGAGACAGACGAACATTGCGTAGGATTGTGATGAAAAATAAGAGGACTACAGCTGCAAAAGTGGCTGCCGAACTGAATGTCACGCTCACAAACCCTGTCAGCACCAAACCAGTACGAAGGGAACTACACAAGCAGCGTATTTCTGGACGACCTGCAATTCCAAAGCCACTCATCAGTGATCAGTATGCCACTAAGAGGAGAATGTGGTGCCGAAGTCCTAAAACCTGGACTATGGAGCAATGGAAGATGGTCATTTGGTCGGATGAGTCCACCTTCACACTGTTTCCGACTTCTGGCAGACTTACCTCTGGAGAACGCCATCCCAAGCTTACGATCGAGATTGTTTGCTGCCAAGAGTGAAACATGGCGGGGATTCGATCATGGTATGGGCAGCCATATCGTGGTATTCCGTTGGACCCATCATTACCCTGCAAGGTCACATCACTGCCGACGACTATGTGACCATTTTGGGCGACCAGGTCCATCCCATGGTGCAAACTTTGTTCCCTAATGGCGATGCTATTTACCAAGACGGCAATGCCCGTGTTCACACAGTTCACATCGTCCAGTACTGGCTTTCTGAGCACGAAGATGAAGTGTCACGTCTACCATGGCCCCCACAATCGCCAGATATCAATATTATTGAGCCTTTGTGGTCTGTTTTGGAGAGCAATCTGCGTGCGCACTATCCACCTCCATCATCGATGACAGAGCTTACCATGTTTTGCAGGAAGAATGGTACAAGATTCCCTTGCAAATCATACAGGACCTCTATTTATCCATTCCAAGCAGACTGCAAGCCAGAGGTTGTTCTACACCATATTAGTCACGGTAATGTGTTTTTTGTTGGGTGTTTCCATATTTTTGTCCATCCTCTGTAGTTTAGAGAACATATCGGCCGGGGTTAGATTTCCGGCTGGGACAAGAGGCTTTTCTCTACTCCACAGCCTCCATACCGGCCCTGGGGTCCACCCAGCTGCCAATCCAATTGACACCGGCTGTTATTTCCTAAGCGTGAAGCTGACATCTCTCCTCCGTCCAGTGCCGAGGTCAAGAGTGATGGAGCTGTACCTTCTCCCCTTCATATGTCTTTATTCCCGATGCTAAATTAATCACGCACAGGGACGACTTCACTTTTCCCTTAGCCCTACTTCATGCTATCGCCATATAATTTCCTGCTTGACCCATAGGTTGTTGGAGCCCCCAGCTCGAGGTATCGGAAACCGAACTGACATTCCCCTGCCTGACCAACCGGACAACAAGCAACGGGAACATAAGCGTTCAAAAGATTCCTTAGTGGGGAAGGACAAAGAGACACAGGAGATTAACAAGAGTAAGGAAAATGAGGAGAAGATTGTAGTTTCTGACAAAGAAGCTGTTGACAGGAAGAAATTAAAGAGCGAGTTAACTGAAAGGATTGAAGAGAGACGTTCAGTAAATCAACACGAAATTCCAGATGTTACAAGAAGGAAGAATAGAGAGAGCGAAATTCCTGAAGCTGTGAGAAGGCAAAGAGAGACCAGTAGAGATGAGCTGGAATTAGAGAATATCTGGACCCCACGGCCTCGATCTTGGGAAGCCCCGACAGAATCCGAGAAGGGTTTGAAGGCCTCGCTACAATTTTCTGTTGCCAGAAGACGAGAGAGCTCTGGGGAACACGACTCTGGCGTGTCGGAGGGGAGTTTCAATGACGGCAAGCAGAATTTCACATCTCCACTCCTTCCTCGAGAGGACGACAGTCTTCTGCATGGCAGTTCTGAATTGATGCTAGTCCTCCTGCCTGAGACAAGGGACATGCGCAGTGAAAAAGGTAGTAGTAGTAGTACTAACAAGAACAAAAATTTCTCCAGAAATGTTCTTTTGGCCCCCATATGCACATAGCAAAATAACATACTACAATCCATTCACATATGAGCACTCCTATATGTACGACTGTGCGCGAGGAAACGCATTTTTTTAAGGTTAATTCCCCTTCTTAGAGCTGTCGAATGTATAACACACCTGTTTCGAATTCGAGGTTTTACGGGTTCGAATCACTCTTCAGATATTGACTATTCTTACAGGATCTTTACGGCTCCAGATAAACGTTGATAGAGTTCATTGTGATTGGGCTGAACTGATTGCATCCACATCCCTCTCAGTTCATAATTTGCGATGCTCTATCGTCCTAATACTGGACGCTAAATAAGCTGTTGTATTTGAAAGCGCTGTAAAGTAAACCAGGAAACAGTCAATGAACCGAATTCATGTGTAGCCTAAGTATAATCAATGAAATTGAAATGTAATAAAATTGCGCCTGTAAAATATTTAAAGATATAATAATAATAATAATGATAATAATAATAATAATAATAATAATAATAATAATAATAATAATAACGTACTTCTGTTGGCTTATTTTGGACTTCACCCATCGTCTGGAATGTAAAAGACAAAAGACCACGACGTTTGGAGACTGGATCTCTCTCCGTCTTCAGGTGGATAGGGAAGGATAAACCTACCCAATTGGGCCCGTTAGAAAGAGCTATTCTCAATCACTGAACAAACTCCGGTCTGTAGAAAAACAACCTATGAACAACCGACAACCGGTTCCATCAGTGGGAGAAAAGAATAAAATCACAGTAAAAACACGATAGAAAATGTGTGCCAAGCATGCACTTGTCAACAATGGAAAGAAACAGAAGTATATGTTAAATTTCATGAATTCAGTTAAAAACGAAAGAAAAAACTGGATAATGCATGCCTAATCTGCGTGGATAAAGAATCGTGCCACCATGGCGACTTCCTGGAATCGAACTAATCCCCGGAACAAAACTTGCAGGAGTAGTGGAACCACTAATATTCATAAAATTATATTTTTGATTTGTTAACCTCTTCATTGATGAGGAGTGTTATGGCGCAAGGGTTATGTACAAGTAGATATGCTGTTTTGGGTAATGTGGAATAAGTGTATCTAGACTTTAAGATTAAGAAATAGAAATGATGAAACGTACCAGGAAGCTTGGGTTTGCAAAGAAGTGTAACAGGCTATAGCTTAGTAATCAGAATGTTAGCGCGACAGCGTAATAACGCTGACATTGAGGAAGAAGCTATATGAAGTGAGTCATAAAAACTATGACACGAGGAAAACGCTGAGTCGGGTGGGCGGTAGACCTGAAAGAGCCAACCCCCTTTCGATAAACAGCCAATGAGTGGGCCACACCGACCCAAAATCACGTCAGGATGGGCGGGTGAATACGCCCTCGGAACCCAGCGAGTCAGCAAAAAGAGGGTACATAAACTCTAGAGGAATCGATCAGAAAAATTATTATCATTAATTGTCAAAGAGTTCAGCCGGAGGCTATGGCCGAGAGAGAGAGATGGCGCTGAGTAGAGGTTGGGGTGGTGTGTGCCTGTTTCATCAGCTCAAGTAAGTGGACTTACTCATATAAGCCATGAACATTAAGTGTGATAATATTAAAGTGCAAACCCTAGGGAGAGAAAGTGAAAACTAGATGGACTAGGTTTATAGAGAAAGAGAGACAGAGGTATAGGATACCCAATAGCAGGGTGACAGGAGTAGAACTAAGGTGTACTACAGGATAATAACCCACATGTAATGCGAACCGGCAGACGTCGGCAAAGTGTGTATATATTATGTATATAGCGACATAGGCGAATAGAGTAGGATAGAAATGCGCTGTGATGTTAATTGAACATAGCCTCCCCTCAAGTGTTACCCTCCTCCCTGAATGTTCCTGCATCTCCCGAATCCTGTAGGAGAATCGCAAACTCATGCCAAGGCGGTAGCTACGTCAGTGATTGTAAATTTACCTGAGCCCCTCCCTAAAATTTAACAAGATAGTGACAGCAGTGAGACAAGCAATCCACCCCTGTCGCAGAAGAATAATAATAAGTGGTGGTAAGGAGGGTTACCTCCACGCCCCCTGTCACCACGGCGTAATAAGGGGGATCCATATGGGAGAAATATCCAAACTGGGTTGGCTGATCGGATTGGATGAACATGCCATATGAGCTGATTCTTTGTACTTTCTGTATCTGCTGTTACTTTCAACATCCAAGATCCTAGCTTCATCCCAGCTTACCCTGTGACCTTCTTCATATGCATGCTGAGCCAACCTGGATTTCTCTAGAAGACCCTGCTTGAGACTGTGCCTGTGTTCACGGATTCGAACAGCCAGTGATCTGCCTGTTTCACCAATGTAGCTTCTGCCACGTTGACAAGGAATGCTACAGACGCACTGCGCCGTCTGTTGAGGATCCCTTTTTGCTCTCGTTCTCACGAGCGAAGATCGTAAAATGTGTCTAGTTTTGAAGACGGCCCTAATATTATACTCTTATCTATGCGCTTGAACTTCTCAGAGATTCCCTTGACATACGAGATGTACACCGTGCCAAGAGGCTTTTCCGTGAACACAGGCACAATCTCAAGCAGGGTCTTCTAGAGAAATCCAGGTTGGCTCAGCATGCATATGAAGAAGGTTACAGGGTAAGCTGGGATGAAGCTAGGATCTTGGATGTTGAAAGTAACAGCAGATACAGAAAGTACAAAGAATCAGCTCATGTGGCATGTTCATCCAATCCGATCAGACAACCCAGTTTGGATATTTCTCCCATATGGATCCCCCTCATCCATGAAGAGGTTAACAAATCAAAAATATAATTTTATGAATATTAGTGGTTCCACTACTCCTGCAAGTTTTGTTCCGGGGATTAGTCTGATTCCAGGAAGTCGCCATGGTGGCACGATTCTTTATCCACGCAGATTAGGCATGCATTATCCAGTTTTTGCTTTCGTTTTTAACTGAATTCATGAAATTTAACATATACTTCTGTTTCTTTACATTGTTGACAAGTGCATGCTTGGCACAAATTTTCTATCATGTTTTTACTGTGAATTTATTCTTTTCTCCCACTGATGGAACCGGTTGTCGGTTGTTCATAGGTTGTTTTTCTACAGACCGGAGTTTGTTCAGTGATTGAGACTAGCTCTTTCTAACGGGCCCAACTGGGTAGGTTTATCCTTCCCTATCCACCTGAAGACGGATACAGATCCAGTCTCCGAACGTCGTGGTCTTTTGTCTTTTACATACCAGACGATGAGTGAAGTCCAAAATAAGCCAAAAGAAGTACAGTATATACCATCGTCAGAATCCTTTCAAGTCTATCCAATAATAATAACGTCGAAGATAATGATGACTATGGAAAAGACGAGGACGATGAAGATAATTAGGTCTGCAATAGGAGTGTCATTTCATGTTCTATTTCCAGATGCCGAACGGAACACGAATTTCGCGATTTTCGGGGATTCCAGTATACCGCCTCCGCTGTCTCTGTCGGCTCCGGAGATTGGAGGTGGTGAGCCTTGGGTGACCTCTCCATTGCGGAATGCTGTCAGCTCCACAGAGCTCCTTCACGAGCAGGCCATGGCGAGATTCTACCAGGCAGTGGCTGCGGAGGAGGCGGAAAAGGCGCGGCAGAGGAAGGAGGTCACGAACGAAAAATCTGCAGAGCCTTCCATCAGTTGGAAAGTAGCTGTAGAGTTTTCTAGGAAAGTGCAGGAACATCCACCAATACAAGAGCTGACGTGGCACCAAAGAAAGCAAAGGACAGTGCAAGACAGGCGGGCCAGTTTGGAAGCCGCGTCTCATACGACGAGATCATTGCCACAGCCTGAGTTTGACATGAAGTCGACACTGAGCCGGAAGGAGCCTGCTAAAATTACCACTGAGGAAGAAGAGGATACAGTGTTTGAAGCGATACGGATAAAAACAGCAACTGAAGTAGCTGAAAGTAAATATCACTCCACTTTGGGTCACAGGGAAGAGGAAAGGATTAAAACAAAAGCACGTGAAAAGGGGGAAGAAATACAGGAAAGAGACTGGAAAGTGAAATTTCAAGAAGAGGACGAGGGGGATGTTGAGGAGGAAGAATTAGGAGAAGAATTATATGAAGATGAAGAATTAGAAGAAGAAGAATCATTAGAAGAGGAGAGCAGTGAATTTGACGAAGAAGAAGAGCTGTACAAGAGTATGGAAGAAGAAGAGGAGATATACCATCCTAGCAGCTTAGGCACCCGCCACATTGAAAGGTTCGCCGAACAGGAAGACGATACTTATCATCCAAGGGATATGGTTCCTTATGCGTCTAGTGTAGAGGTTCCTCTGGCAAGAGCCTCAGAGTGGCAACATACAGCATGGTCCACCGACGATGCCACTACTGCCCTAAAATCTATCTTGAAGCACAACAGCAAATTCCAAGAGGACTTGGAAGATACGAGACACGAGTTGTCTATACGAGAACTGGAACGCAGTCCTCCGAAGTCATTTCGAGAGAGTCTACCGAAAGACTTGGTGCCTTCTTCTATTTCTGAGAGACATTCTCACTGGCCATCATCTCCTTTCGAGCCACGGAGTCCTGAACTGCCTCAACCTGTAGAACAACAAGTATATAATGCAGAAGAATTTCGAGTGCAGGACGATATAAGATCAATACCTTCAAAATCCGCACCTTTCTTACAGCAGATCGCTAGTTCTACAATCGAATCTCGGATTTCACCAACAAGACCTAACACCCATATAGCAGCTCCCATCATCTTTGCAACAGAAAGAACCATCCACACAGGAACACCGGCTGCTTTATCCGCAGAAGCGTCCAAGAATAAACTAATGCTAATAAGTAAATCCTCTAACGAAGAGGACACAGAGGCGAGTAGAGCGGTGGCCGACTACTACGGAGACATCATTCGTGATCATGCTCGTCCGAAGAAAACTATCAGACAGTACCTCAACACTGCGGAAATGAAGGCTGCTGCTTCGATGTCACAGAACCAGGGGGAAAATTTACCGACACCCACTCCTCAGGTATCGCGAACACCAGAGGCAGAACCAGAGTTAGAATTTAGTTTGGAGGAGCAAGTAGTTACAGCAGAGCAGAGTTCATATAACAAATTTACTGCTCAAGTTACAGCAGAGAAGGGTGCACCTGACAGACACACTGCTCCAGTTACAGCAGAGAAGAGTGCACGTAACAGATACACTGCTCCAGTTACGGCAAAGCAGAGCACGCATGACAGATACACTGCTCCAGTTACATCAGAGCAGAGTTCATATAACAAATTTACTGCTCCAGTTACAGCAGAGCAGAGCACACATGACAAATACACTGCTCCAGTTATAGCAGAGCAGAGCACGCATGACAGATACACTGCTCCAGTTACAGCAGAGAAGAGCACACATGACAGATACACTGCTCCAGTTACTGCAGAGAAGCATGCGCGTGACAGATATACAGCTCCAGTTACAGCAGAGAAGAATACATATGACACATACACAGCTCCTACTACAACAAAGAAAAGTGCATCTGACAGATATACTGGTCCAGTTACAGCAGAGCAGAATTTATATGGTGGATACGCTTCTCCAATTACAGCAGAGCAGAGAGAATATGATAGATGTATTACTCCAGTTCAGCAACCACCAACACGGTGTAGAAAATCCAGAACTCCTGATCTTGTTCGCAGTCGACAATCTTCGAAAGATCGTTCTCGTGTGCCTTCAACAGAGCGATTTCCTGCCGAACTGCCCAGACGCTTTCCAGGCTTCGAACACCGTTTCTTCCCGGAGAGGCATGGACCCGAAGAACCCGAGAATTCGCGTGCCGTCTTTCCTAAGCAGGATGAACAGTTGCAAGTGGCAAAAAGGAAATGGCGCTCAGTTGTCGGCTACCTTGCAGACTTCGCCATGTTTCTCGTGGCTTGTTGGCTGTACGCCTTCAAGGATGAACGCCTAGCAATTCCAGTCCTAGTCCTCATGGTATACCGACAATTGCAAAAAGCCATACAGAGAAGATTACCAAAATTACCTTCATTACCTTGGAAACGGAGCAGTTAATAATACTGCAGACATTATGCATATCTGGAACTGTGATTGTGTCAAGTTTCGTTTTGACTTATTCCATTAAACTGAACTTTGTATGCAACAGAGCCAGTCATCAGGGGGCTAAATCTGTACATGTATCTTGTGGTCCAATTAATGGTAGTTTGCAGCAGCGAGTGGCGCCGTACTCCTTACAGTTCTCCTTGTATATGAAAAGTTTCTTTTAGACTAATTTACTTAAAAAATCTCTAAGATTTCTTTTCATTAGTTCAAGGTACAATGCTAAGCTTGTCGATGAACTGGAGACTGGTTAGTCTGTTAGTTGTGTAGCTGTAGAAAGTAAGGTCGGGAGGGGTAGAAGTTCTGTACCTCTCGTCAAAGTTGTAATAAAATTAACGTAAAAACGCTCCGTCTGTTGCAGCGCAACACGTTTATCACGAATAATAACTAAAGAAAATATTAATATATTTGTTTTATTATTCAACTAATTTTAATTTCCAGAAATTCAATATATTTTCGGACAGATGCAATAATTTTACTGATCGATTGATGGGCCAAATATGAAGAAGTGGTGTGGCTCTTCACTAGAGTGCCTTTTTCAAATCTTAATAATTCTACAGTTATTCTGATACATTTACCTACATATGTAAATATAAAACTTTATGTAATATCTCCAGCAGTTGCATTTACCGAAGTCACTGCAACGTGCAAAGTTCTGACATTGTATCAATGTTACGTCACTCTAAATCAAATGGATATTGGCAATATACTTGTGCATAGAATATCTCAAAGGTAGCAGGCGTACATCCAGCTGAATAATACATTAGTTGCACCATTTCCTTATCTTAAAGACGTGCAAATCACGGTCTCCAATTGTGAGTGAAAAGCGCCCTAATCTTAATCCAGAATTCCTTTCCATTTAATAAATTTTAATTTTGTGCTGGCGATTTTCTTGTATTTTAAGGAACCCCAGCAGATTCCAGAAATTAGTTATTGGACCTGGCAAGGTAAGAAATAAAGTTTTCTGCCCATGCTACCTAAAATGGTTTGCGAAGAAAGACACAATATGCCAGTGTTATGTTCACGTTCTTAAAAAATGTATTCTACAAATTAAAGAATGAGTTTATAAGTCCATAGTTATTAGATCCCAGTCGAAGTGTAACAAGATTGTGTAAGTATATTTATGTATTATTGTTCAAACGGTCAATAAATATGGCGTTAAAATTAACATTATTTTGCGTCATTTAACCATTCCTTCTGCGAGAGCATCAGTTAGAATATTCCTGTCCCTCTAATGTTAAAATGAATATATTTCTTTTAAGATTTTCGGCAATCAGACAAAATGAGAGTTGCTAGAATAATCTGCGCCCTAGCTTCTGGAATGACGTGATCATTATGAATATTTCGGACTCCCCAGACTTTCGATATCCCAGTTGGCGACGTATTCGCACGCCTTGACAGGCCTGCTAACTGTAAGTTTAATAAGACCGGCTATGAAACTGTTCAGTCTTCATGATACCGCTATCACAAGCAAACTTTACTCTTCACAAGATAATATTAGCTTTGTCAGCTCTAGGACGATGGGACGCATGGGAGAAGCGGCTGACGTGCGAGAACCGAGAAAATGGATACAGATTGGTCTGAAGACATGACTGCAAGAGACCATGGGAGACCTAACCTTAGAAGTGAGGGTGATTTTAAATTGGATCACAAGAAAATATTGTGTAAGGCTGTATACTGTACTGGATTGGTTCAGAATAGTTTGAAATGGCGGGTTCTTGTGCATACAGCATAACCTTCAGTTCCATGTAAGTGCGGGCTATTTACTGACTATCTGAACGACTATTAACTTCTGAGGAGGACAATGTTTCACGAAATTGATTAGATTTCTTTTTTGGTGCTGTGCTGGTGATTCAGAGTAGTGGTGACTCGTGCCACGTTAATCCTCCATGGGTTTAGTGCACTAGCAGAGATCATGGATGAAGAACAGACTGTACGGCATATAAGCAGGAACAGGTATAGTCTCCCTAAAACTACTGGAGAACTTAGGTAGAAGCTGAGACTCGGTTCCTCTTTACGGATATACCAAGGAACAATTCAACGAAGAATGCCATCTTCTGGGATGTGGCTCACGCTGGTTCCTCGCTCACAGATTTTCTACCTTGAAGATGGTGGCGATAGTTTCCTCCGAAACGTCGGTTCACACGAGATCTACATGGTGCCACATCCCAGAAGATGGCATTCTTCATAGTCACCGCCGTGAAAACCTCAAAATTAAAACATGGAAAATAAGCACATCATTTCTGTCTCATTGCGTTCTTCAGACTGCACAGTAATTTCAATTATACTGACAATAAATCCCTCTCGCTTTAACCTTGAGTGTAGAAATGATTTCAGTGCGTACTGTACTTCTTTCCAAATGTTAACAACCTCCTCAGAGATATTTCGGCTTTTTGCACCTAGGCGTTGAATGTTTTAAGATTACGTCACTAGAGGATCGTACGGACTACGTGTATTGCGCTTGCGTTGGACAGTTTTAGCTCTAGCCCTTCCATTGCAAGGCGCCACCGTCGTCATAACCTCTGTTGTCGACTGGACGGTGGTGTTTGCGTTTGTTGCGTGGTGTGCTCTTCCTTGTGTGTGCCGCGCGCGCGTGTGTGTGTGTGTATGTGTGTGATGACCCACAAGACAGCTGTTCTTATTTTTCTTCTTCTACTGCTTTCTAGTGCAGTCACTGTTGACCCTTGACCACACATACAAGGAATAATGACGATAGTAACTGCAGGTAAAAACAATGCTCTTATCGAATTATTCACGGTCTACTTGTGCGATGGGCTGCCAAGTCATGACTCTATCATGTGTCTGCCTGCCTCCCGACAGACCGACCCGGCCAAACAAAAATAGACAACCGCAGATTTCTTGTTCTTTGCCGTGACATTGATGCATGCAAATGCGTCCGTTAATGTTCATACCTTAGCACATAGGACCTTTGAAACAAAATAAAACTGAAGACGTATAAATTATGTTCTGTAGAGGCATGTCATGTTGTGTACATGTCACAAAGCTCGGGACATTCCTATAATGGCAGCTTTTATTCTTATTTAACATAACTGAAGTAATTATACACACACTGTGTGTATAATACTGGACGTAGTTAACACATAGTTAAATTGGCATTAATGGGGAAATTGTTAACACAGATTTTTTAGTAGACCCAGTGATTAAGAATATACCTTGATGTGGTAACATAACGTACTTGATTTTAAAATAACCTTCCGAAATAGGAATATGTTTAGATTCATTTATACAATGTTATATTTTAATTGTGATGTAACGCACTTATAAAAGTAAATATTATGAAAGATATTTTTAAAGTTGGTATCGGTATTATCGATAAAAGAAATTTATTTGCTGGGATATAACGATGTACAGTTCTGTATTTTCACCGGACTACACGGCATCATATCGTAGAAGATATAAATTTTCACCGCCAATGCTGTGAGCCCCTAAACTCCAAAATAATGTCGATGGTCTATAGCCTGGTCTTTTGGGCCCAGCAGACTTCATATGTTTCCTGGTACTCATTAGGTTCGGCTGTTGCTGCTCGATTGACAGTAAGAAAACTGTTTTACCCGTACCATGAAGTGCCCAGCTTTGCCCTGATCTTCACCATCACTAATGCAATTATCGTTAAGTTATCTTATTAATGTTAGTGTTAACAGTAAGCGACATAATTTTACTCTTGTGCTTTCTCCTCTTCAACCTACCAAAAGACGGGTAGCTGCTAAGGATTGCTTCTATCCTTGTGAAGTAAAATATAAACTAAATATCCACCATTCTTCTTAAAGGCTGCGTGCAGGGATCTTGCGTCTTTTCAATTTATCCTTTATGAATAATGAATTGGACAGAATTTGGAAGGAAGAGGTCGTGGCCTAAGCGAGTTTCTACCACGGCATTTGCCTGAGGAGACTGAGGAAAATGGTGTCCATGCTGCGATTCGAACCGAGTGGCTCCCGATTACAAGTTTAAACCCTTAGCGCTATATCAACCTGCACAGTGAATTAATATCCTTTTCCGGAGTTACGAATTAATTGTCTAGATATTGTGTCTACCTTTCGTTACTGGCATGAAGTCCGTTTCAATTTCAATGGTAGGTTTCAAGTACAAACTTCCGCAAAACTGCCTAACCTCAGCAGCTTGGAAGGTTCTAGAAAGCAGCCAGCTTCATTTATGCTGAGATACTGAAGTTGAGTGAATAACACTATTGGCATGCACTGAAGATTGTCAACATCTAGAGAGAATTTTATGCTATTTCGAGCATTCCAAATCGATTTAAGCATAAATTACTTTCTAATATATACATATATATGTATATAAACATATTGGAATATGCATAACGACAGATAAGCAAGCTATTATCTTCTATTTATGACGATATGGATATTACACATATTATATTTCACAGTAGTGATCGCAGAGAGTATATTTGTGCGCAGGCCGACTTAATGAAATTATTTTTGTGCCATTATTACAAATTGTCGTAATAAAGTCCGTTATCCAGTCACAGAAGCTCAATAAAATAATGGGACTCCAGTGGGAATAATCCATTCATCCTCTAGCAATATGCGTTCCGTTACAAATCGGCCCATTGCTTGTTCTGCAGAAAAGTCTAAGTACTTTGTTTCAGAAAATACTATGAGATTTTATGGATGCGGAAGAAGCATGGAAGACAGGTGAGCTCAACTCTTTGTGGGTCGAAACCATTTGCTCCAAATGTTTACCGAGACAGCGGCCAGCCGACCGACTTTTAAGTTATATTTTTAGCCATGCATGCAGTCCCTTCAGTGAATAGTAAGCACCAAAGCTTTACTTCAGTGCTGCTGGATGGAGATATAAACGTTTCTTTCTCTCTTTTTCTCCAGAAGGAATGGAAAAAAAACCGAGTGCCGGTGGCACTGGTGGTAATCTGCAACCTCCCAGTTTTGTGGGGGATACCCAACAATGTGTTACAGCACGAGAAGGAACTGACGTCACCATAACAATAGAGTTGACGCCTACTGGTGGCGCTCCAACAGCCATCTGCTGGTAAGTATTGTATACAAACCATCAATCCAGAACACAGACAACTGCAGACTTTGTAAAGTCAGGGCAGGAGATCTGATTGGTAGACTGTTCTCCACGCCTTCATGTACTCATTAAATTAAAGGAATCTCTCGACCAGCCACACTACAAAGGTATTTAGCCCATGATTCGCAGTTCAAATACGGCACTTGAGATGTGTTTTATCAACACGTGAAGAAATCGAAATTTCGTACTGGTATTAGACACACAAGTGAGCTTTCCAGATAGAACTAAAAAAAAGGTATACATGAAAATAAAACAAGCAATCGCACAATATATATGAGACAAACTCCGTCTTAAGTGCAACAATTTAATTGTAGTTCTTTCTTCTTCCCTTCCTCCACACTACATGTTTCGGCCCTAAATGGCCATCATCAGGTGTGTATTCTTACGTAGCTGTTCACTNTTCGTGATGTTTGAGAACAGGGTGCTGACAAAAACATCCGATGGGAAGAGACTACTTGAAAGAAGTAGGCGTAGATGGAAGAATAATATGGAAATTCATTTTTAAAACGGTACATGGAGTGTAGACTGAACTTGTCTGCCTCAGGATGGGTATCAATGGGAGGCGTGAGTGAGCTTGGTGATAAACTTTCAGAATGCATGTGATAGACAATCTTTGGAAACCGCTCATCGGCCATCAAAAGAGCGGTCGTTTTGCCCGCCTGACAGAACGCGTCCGAACGCTACACGATGAAACGGCCGTGCTTGTTTGTTTACACGAGAGACTAGAGGCTCAGATTTAAATTTGAGATGTTAAATTACTCAGTAACTACTTGAGCTAGCGTAATGAAATTACGAACTTTTACTGAACTCTGTTATACCTTAGTAAGAAGAAATCCCCACTTCAAAATACACATCAGAGGACGATAAATAAACATTAAATTATACTACTACTACTACTACTACTACTACTACTACTACTAATAATAATAATAATAACAATAAGAGGAAGATAATAACAGCACTCGAGTGCTTCCGAATCAGCAATCTCCTGTACTTAGTTAATGATTTCCGTCTCAACACAACTATCAAAACCTCATTCACATTTACGGGGCATAGTGAGTACATTAGTTTTAAGAGTACGACAATACGCTACACGTTTCGGATTATAAAGCCATAATCAGGCAGTACACATTAAGAAATATTTTCAAATTACTGAATTGCATTATATTGCATTATAACTATTACCAATGTAATATTTGTTATAGTGTACTATATGAATGGTAATAGTTATTATCTTTTAATATATGAATTCATATAAAGCCCAATTCAGTAGTTTGCTTCCTGCAACACAACAGGATACATTCATTGAATGTTAAAAGATCTCCTAGTTACAGCCGAATAATTTTCAATATGTCGAATTTTCACTCTTGTCAAGAGAATCCCATTACGGGTAATGGCGCGATGTGGGCAACCTCATGGTGTCTTAAGTTCACATTTGGGTTCTACTTGGTGCCTCTTTTTATGCACACAGTTCTGATGGAGTGATTAGCTTTTAAAAAGGACATAGCTTCATGCAGTCTGTTACATGTGTAATCGTGAATAACACAGAGCGTACGTTACAAATTGTAGTAATGAATATTGAAACGACTTTGTTTTGAGGGTATAAATTAAAGCATATGGAATTAAATAGGCCTACTTATACAGGAGGAACTGCCTGCTAGGCGCGACAGAAGTGAAGAGCTAATCCCTTCAGAAGATATGAACTCTAGTTTCATGTCCCAAATTTTCAAGTAAGGAACTAAACAAATATATAATATTTTAAGATTCTGTGTACATTTATACATTGAAATGCATGGGTCTGATACATCGGTTAAACTTATAAAATTTTGCGTCACCACACACAATCATATGACTTCTCCATCTAAAATAAAACCTGTAAATAAAATTGTTATGAAGTTAAAATTTATAGCAGCCCACTTAATGGGAACATGTTAACTGGACGTCCTTCCGTATCTAGTAGAAGCTTTTCGTCTGCCTGTTTATAGCGGCATTTGTTTGTTTGTTTTGTTTTTCTTCTTCTTTTTAAGAAGGTGTAGAGTAGAAACCGTGTAGCATTTGTGTAAAATTGTCGCAGGATTTACAGAGGTTACTAAGATAATTTATTTTTAAACTGGACAAAAATTTTAAACAAAAAGGAATTAGCCATGAAAATAGCTGGTGCTTGGTCTCCGCATGTAGTCAGGAAGGTCGCACTTGAGAACTGCCGGCTGTTGGGCGGACGTACATCGCTGTAGATTGCATGAAGTTCTAAACGCGACATTTCTCCCTTACGTAGGCCTATGTGCAATCTCCTCACAACGACAGCAGTGTTCATGTCTTGTGTCGAGAAAATTGCAGCAGCAGTCCATTATCTCCATGTATAATTATATCCTGAATAATAATGATTTCTTTGGAAGATACCAAGCGTCAATTCCACGTATTTCAATTCTGTCGGTAACGACTGAAATACAAGACCTTGAGCAACGACTGTAATGACTCCCACTTGCTATCACACAACCGATTTTCTTGAATTCAATAAGCTTTATGTAAATATTATAAATATTATTGGATTCGGGATAGCGTAGTCAGTATAGCGACTGACTACGGGCTGGACGACAGTAGAGACGGAGTTCGAGTCCCGATAGGGTCAAAAATTTTCTCTGGGGTCCACCCAACCTCCAAACAAATGTATAAATGGGGCTCTTTCCCCGGGGGTAAAGCAGTCGAGGCTTGAAGCTGATCACTTTCATCCAGCTAGTGCCGAGACGAAGAAAATACGGATCTATACATCCACTCCCCCCATACGCCTACATGGCATAGTGCTTAATTAGTTATGCATAGGCAAAACTTCACTTCATGTAAATATTGTCCAATACTTCATATGTGTAAAATCTGAGGTTCTTACTGCAATACGTATGAAGGGTGTTATCGTCTGGGGTGTCTCGGTGTTCCATTTGCTGCTTGGTTACTCAGCATGCTCTTTGCCTTTGAAGATGGAGGCAATACGTTCCTTCAAAACATCGGTAAACTTCTATCAAACAACTCGGCGTCACATCCCAGAAAAATTGTACTGTTCCTCATAAGCGTCTTCCGTGGATTCCATGAAATCTGTACAGGAGTTGTTCTCTCACGCGACATACGTGTATGCCCAAAAAGCAGGCGAGCTTAAAATGCCATGTCGGTCCTATAGCCTTAGAGCAAATTAGAGCGAATTTAGCCATGACACAGAAGGTTCAGTACCAATCCTACTAGAACTTCCATCAACGTCTGACAGATGGCTCTAATAAAAATTGTAGAAGTTTATTTAGATCCCCTAATTTCGTTTTGTTCTGATTTCTGTATGCACGCAGTTTTTTTTT